GAGTGCAACCAAGTTCTAGCTTTGTCCTTAAGAGAAAATTAGAAGAGTTTCATCCTAAAAGCATCATCAGAGAGTGTGGACAACTTGGTAGTTGAACACAATTCCAGAAATTCATCTATGTGCTTATAGGGATCTTTAGTAGCAAACCCATGGAAAGTTGGAAGCATTTGAATCATAGCTAGCTTGATCTTAAACTCGGTTACATCAGATTGTGGAAATTGAAAGCAACAAGGGGATGTATATGAGGTGGGAATAAAGTGATCCCTCAATTGTGGTTGTGGTGGAGGAACAGGTGCTTGTGACACATGTGGCCCATTTGGATCATCACCATTATTAGCAATGTCTAATTTAGAGAATTCTCCTAACAATTTAAGCTAAGATCAATCAAGTAATAACAAAATTAAAAATTTCAAGTGAAGAAAAACAGCAAAAACTCACAAAAGGTCCTAAAACCGAAGCTTCTATTCCTTAGGCATCTTCATCCTCGCTACTAGATTCCTGCACTTGAAAAGAACAAGAAATAAGGTTAGATATCAGAAAGTACTAAAACTATAAATTAAACTAGAATTAATCCCGAACTCAACAAATCTGTGACACAGTCCCCGGCAACGGCATCAAAAATTGATGTGTGTTTTTATTTATCAATAATAAAATATTACACGCAATAGAACGAATCCTTGTATGATAGGCCTATGCTGAGGGTGTCGAACCTCAAGGACTGTGGTGGTTTATTAAGTCTTCAATTAATACTATTTTAATTTAGAAAGAGAATTTGATTTTGTGTGTTGTGATGCAATTCAATAACATAAAAGAAAATAAACGGAATAAAAGGATTGAGATCAAGAGAAGAAATACTTAGGGAATGACTTCACCACGAACCTCATACTATGATCAACTGTTCAACCTTGGGATTTCAATAATTATGTATCATATGGAATTAAACTCAATAACATTCGTTTAATTCAGATTTAAAGAAAGATGTTCCATGAATTTCAATTAACTATAACCTATCTTCGGTTGGCACAAATTATCTACCTACCTACTTCTAACTAATTTTGTAATATAACTCGTCTTCCCTAGGCATAGACTATGAACATATTCATTCATAAAAAATGTTTGAACACCATTGCATGATCTCCATTCTTATGTCCGATAGGCCTCCACCAAATACCGTCCAATAAGAATGGGTTGAATATAATTTAAGAACAATTAAATCTAACACAAGGTATTAATCATTCAAAAACTATGTAATCATTAAAAACCAATTGCATTAAGTCAATTACCCATAATCATACAATCAAAATACATAATATATTAAATTCCCAAAATATAGAACAATCAAACCATAATATTCGGATTCGGGCTACATCAATGCCCTAAGAGAGGAATTAGCTACTCATGACAACACAAGATATCATCTGTGTTGTTGTGGTCTTCCTCGTCATGTACCTTCAAAACTCCTTTTGGATCTTCTTCTTCAAAACCCTAAAAGTCGCCGTGAGAGAGAGATATGAGAAAGCTCTGATATGATGGCCTTATGCCTCCTTTTATAGAAGAATTAACTTCTAATAAAGGTTGGATGGGCTTTTAGGTCTTCTAGGATAATCTAGGCCCATCTGCGATGAATTATGACTGAATTAAAACAAATCCCGCAACTTGAAAATTCTTACTTAACAGCAAAGCTCGAGCTTTGGGTACAAGTCTTGAGCTTTTTGTACAAGGCTCGAGCTTTCAGGGATGGTGCTCGATCCCTACTTCTATACTTAGCTAAATTTCTTCTAATATTTTTCGAAGCATCTTTTCCATCAACACTTAGAATATTTTTGGATATTTCCTTTTAATAGTGCTCGATCCCTCTTTCATGGTGCTCGATCCTTGACTTTTGGGTCTCGACTCGAGCTTTTTGTACCTAAAGCTCGAGCTTTAGGTACAGCGCTCGAGCTTTCAAGAATAGGGCTTGAGCCTAAGTGATTTTGACCCATTTAGAGTGCGAATTTGGAGATAGCTATTATAGACAAAAACATCAGGCTTCGAGTCTTCTTTCCAAAACCGCTAAGTTTGATCAATTTGGAGTTTTGAGTGAAAAGTTATACCTAAAATACTGAAGTATGTCCAGAATTCTCATCATTTTTACTCCAAGCTTGCTTTAGATGACCGACAACAGCTTTGTAAGCTTCAATATCAGTCTTTTTATCATACAATCACGGTTTTAACTTATTCTTTGGGAAAGTACCTACAAACACAAAATATACATAAATCAGTCTAAAACTGGATAGAAGGATTACTTAAAGTCTTAACATACATATATTTAGGGCCTCGAATACGCAATATTCAGCGCTCATCATCCTTTTTTTAATCCAACCAATTTTGTAGAGACTCGAATGTTTTTCTGTTTTCACCCCTAACTTCCGGGCCATTGCCTTTGACACGATATTCTCACTGTTGCCGTGTATACTTCGCACAACTAGAGAATGTAAGAGTAGATCCCCCTTATCTTCTCCGATCACCTCTTCCTCATCATATAAAGGAAACCCTTCATCATCTTCTTTATCTTGATCCTTTTCACCCCCAAGCTCTATTAAATTGACTGAGCGCCTTTAAAGACATTCATTAGATCGATGTCTTTGCTGCCCACATCGATAACAATTAATAGGGTCTGGCCGACTGTAGGGATTATTTTTGGATGTATCCCAACTTGCTATGGGAGCTATTCTGGTCTTCTTTGGCTGAGTACTATTACTAGCCAAATCAGGTACTGCTAGAACGGAAGGTTAAGAATACATGGGTTGTTTTGCTTTGTTCGTCGCTGAACGCGTCGAATCAAAGTAATTCCTGGAGCCAGCTGGTGTTTTCTCTTTCTCTTAAAAGGGCTCTGCTCTGGTTGCTGCATTCGTGGCTTCTGCTAAAGTGTAAATTATGTATATTGATACCCTATCGTGAATGGCATATCGCAGACCATTCAGATAACGAGCAACTTACTGTATCTCAGTTTTCCTTATGTTGTTTCAAGACGTCAACCGATTGAATTCCTCCATATAGGTCTGAACCTTTCGACTTCCCTGTTTGCAATCCTGATACCAACTAGCATAAGCGGAACTGATAAGTTTGTTCATGAGAAACAGGTTACCTTCGATCCACAAGGTGGGTGTTTTGAATCCACAAAACCAAAAGATGATTCAGAGATATCTGATATATTATTTGATAATTGAATGAATGATTCTGATATCTGTATTATACATATTTATAATGAAAGAAAACCCTAATCCATAAGGAAGCTAACTGCAACTTGAATCCTTATAACATAAGGAAAACAAATCCCAAAAGGATACTAAAACCCGAAAATAAGTCTAAAAATAAAGTTTCTCTAAAAATTCTGAAAAAATAGAGAAAGAAACCTAATAAAATAAAACTACTAAATATAAAATATGAATGCAATCCAAGTTCATTTAGACAACAAACAAAAATCCCAAAATATTCGACAAGTTACTTTCGGACCGAAAAACCCCGTTTTGAGGTCCTAAACGATGGTATTTCGCCGAAAAGCATGTTATGTCACAGCATAGCAGTGAGTCTTGTTCTTTGGGCCGTTTCTAGTATAAAAAAAAAACTCTCTTGTCGGGTCAAAAACCCACACTTCGGGATTAGCCCAGAAATCTGTCAGCACGCCAGTTTGACCCCTGGAGGTCCAAACGGGTCATAAAGGCTTTAGCAATCAGTTCTACATCAAAGTTGTAGAATTTATAAAACACAAATAATCTCAATAATATAATATTAACTATAATAAAAATTAAGAAAAACAATAATAATAAACTTAGTCCTAAATTCGTATGGTATGTTTACGTGTAGTGATAGTTGTCCAATACGGCTCCAAGATACAATCCCTATTCGGCCTTCTTCAGGCATGTTCAAAGTGGAATAAGGTTGTACTAGTCTTGTCTTCAAAGTTGCCCCAAATACAGTATGGTTTTGCCAATACCCAAGAAACTGGTATTTTTAACTGGACTGGAAGCAGAGTGATTGAGGAAGCACAAAAGGAAGTCGGAAAAGCATTCAGTAAATGGAGTGTTCATTCTTGCAATAGATGAGAGAGAGCTTTTGTAATATACCATTAAAAAGTCTTTTTTCTTTTATATATTAAAAAAAAATGGATATATAACTAACTAGATATAATTGCATAAAATGTTAGTTCTGGAACAGATATAATTAAAGATAGTGTTACAGAAAGAAACATTGGAATTTCTTGTTATATTTTTATGGGATTCCAATTTCATCAATCTTTTCTCCTCTCCTAGAAGGATCAAAATTTTACTTCGAAGTGCCATTCCAATCACTCCAAAATTTAAAACTGTTTCAAATTTTTTTTTTTTCTTTTTTTTTTTGGTAAAGGCAACATTAAATATTTTTTTTTTATAAATAAATATTATTAATGGTAAAAAAGTTGCAACAAAAAAATTTTATATATATATATAATAGAAAGAAGCAACAACAAAAGCAGGGCGGCTCAATGTACAGCAGATGTGATGCTTTGGGGGCAAAAAAATCAAACAGTGGGAATACTAGTGGTAAACTATAGCTGTTTTCCATCTCTTTTGGTCTCCATCTTGATTGGAGCAATAGGTATGCTAGTTATCCTCCCAGGTTGCATGTCCTGATTCAATTGGCCTTTACTCAATGTGACTTTTGAAGCTAGATGCCTGAATCACACTATAAAGCCCATGGAAACCCTCCCTTCATCTTTTTTTTCTTCTTTGTTGGTGGATTTGTGGTTATGTTCACCTTTATACAGTTAGGTGTGTCTCGAGTCATACCTCCCCAATCCCACTGTAAGACTAGTAAGAAGAACACAAACCAAAGGAACTCTCTCAACTAAGGTTTTTGTTACTGTATATATCCAACAATAGGTTTAAATTTGCTTATGTATTTCAATCTATGATAACGAGTCTAAACTGGTTTATGTAGTTCAGAATTATAAGAACTAAAGAATTGTGAAGTAAGCCATGTAGAAAAAAACAAATATACCCTTCTATTAAGACAGTCCAAAATTATTACTAAAAACCAAATTAAACAGGCTGCATTTTCCAGCCACCTCAACAGATGGCCTTCGTTTGACAACGTTTTTCGAGATAAAAGTAACAACGTTCCAAAGTACAAAATGCCAAACTTTATTTTAAAGAGTCTTATGGGATTTCAGAAACAGTTCCTCACTTTTTTCCACATCTTCCTCTCCCTTCGGCCTTCCTCTTGCCCTTATCCGTTACTTTCGGGTGGTCTTGTGGCATGCCATCAGCAGGAGTGGCTGAAACAGAACTATTTTCAGCAGCAGCCTTGCCTTTGGATCCTTCTGATGGCATTTTTATGAAGTCTTTAAAAGTGAGTTTCCCCACTACAATACACAATTGAATGAACATCATAAGCAAGGGAACATAAAATAAAATAGGGGCTAATCAATATCCACCCACAAACATCTTTCATTTGAACATTCAAATGCCAAACATGTGTCATGAGGTCCAACGCAAATGATACAAGAAATCTAAAGCAAAATATTGAGTGCTTTTTGAGTAAATTTTATTCAAAATACAAATTCAATTATAAGACCAGTAACTTCCACAGAATGGATCAGCTTCCAAAAATTACTTAGAAACATAAATACAAACACGTGAGTAGGGATTATTTCAATAAATCAAAATCAAGTTTAGAAAAATACAATGGCACGCAACCAATACAAGGCCTAGGCTCCAAAGTTCAATCTGACTATCGTATACTTCTCTGATTCATTAGTGTAAAATCATTTGACATTCATCAATAGAACCATGGAAGAAAGAAATAAAAATATAAGTCAACCAAGCAAAGAATTTGGTAACAAGAGTTTACTAATACCTCCGGCACTAGTCAAAAGGCATATTAGTAGCAATCATCATGCAAACTTGCTCTCAAGAAATGTTTAATAAACTACATATTGACTGAGCAGTTTACTGTCAGTTGTACTGCACACAGGAACGAATCAACAATCATCCACGTACTATATTTTATGGTTATTAAAATATATATATATTTGCATTAAAAAATATCCATACAATACATATACAAGAAACAAATCAAAAGGGTAAATATTGGCATTCTTCGTGTCAGAAGTGGCTAAAATTAATTGGCTCAAATGATGTGTGCTTTGCTCATTGGTTTGTAAATGGTTTAGTGATCCAGAACGTCTGAGGTAATGAGCGAGTATTATTAATTGAATATGTACACAATGATGTGTATTGTTTGGTCAATACATGACATTGAAATTTGTGTGTGCATGAAATGTACTAGCTAGTGTAATCACTGCAGGTTTAAAGAACAGTAATGGTTAAGGAAACTAAGGAAAAGTAAGAGTGAAGGAATGAAAGTGCATGCACTGTCACTGAGCTGTGCATGAGGTAGTGCCGAAATGTTTGGCCGTTCAAAGGCAGTATTGAAGGATTGTGTTTGTTGTTCGCTAGAGGCAGATAAAGATTTGCCTGTAACTACAGGCATTGCAACCTGAGTGTCGTGTGGTGAAGAACTGAGTGTGGCTCTGACGGTAGATCGATCAGCAATCTCATCGGCTACTACTGTGTCAGCATCTTCCTGCAGCCTTGAAGCATATAGGATACGCGAGTTCCCTAGGGGCAGAATTGGTGGGCTGGGGTGTAGTGCATAATTGGGCTTGGTCTTCTAGTGGGCTGGGCTTGTCTATTTATTTCAATATGGATACAGCTGGTATGGGTTCGGCCCGTTCTTCAGCTGGCCCTTCTTCTCCCAGCACCTCAGGTATTCATCTTTTTCTGGATCCTTCGGTTCTCTGTGTGCCTCACAATGATTCCTTGCGTATTTTAGTCTGGAATTGTCAAGGAGTAGGCAATTCATTGACTGTTCAGCAATTAATACATCTGAATCGAATTCACTCTCTGGATATAATTGTGTTGCTTGCAACCAAAAATACATCTAGGAAACTTCACCGGCTGAAAAAAAGACAGAAAGTGGATTATGTATGGAGTATTGATCCAGTTGGTTCGGCTGGGGGTCTGGCTATTTTTTGGAAGCAGGAATACTTGATTCGTATTATTGATTTTACTAACTATCAATTTACAGTGGAGCTTTGTTCAGGTCGGAAGGGCTCTTGGAATATTACTTTTATTTATGCAAGTACAAATGATGTTATTCGTACCGCCCAGTGGGAATATCTCAAACGAATGCAGAAGTTATGGAATGATCGGTGGATAATCATTGGTGATTTTAATGATCTGTTATTGCCCTAGGAAAAATGCGGTGGTCGGCCTAAACCGTACTGGGTACTAAAGAATTTTAGAAAGTTGGTATCGGATTGTGGTCTCTTTGATTTGGGGTTTGATGGTTACCCATTTACTTGGTGTAATCATCGTGGTGGTCTTGCTAATATCCAGGAACATCTTGATAGAGCCTTAGCTAGTCAGACCTGGAGGAGAATGTTTCCTCATGCTCGTCTCCGTCATCTCATGGTGGCAAGCTCGGATCATTGTGCTTTGCTTCTTGATATTGGAACGAAAGTCCAGACAGTTCCATTTTGATGCTAGATGGATCTCGGATCGTAGGTGTGGTGATATTATACGGGACGCTTGGCGACTCCCAATTCATGGCTCTCGGTTATATTGCTGGTCTGAAAAAATTAAAAGATGCAAAAAAGCTTTGACTTACTGGGTTCGGACTACAAATCATAACTCTCGGCAAACTATTTAGCAAGCTGAACTTCAGCTACAACAATTGAAGGCAAATTTGGATGGCTATGATCATGAATCAGTTGTTGCAGTGGAAAACCAATTAAATTCTTCTTGGCGTCGCGAGGAATTGTATTGGTTTCAGAAATCTAGGGTTCAATGGCTGCAATTAGGGGATCGTAATACAAAGTTTTTCCATACATCTACCATCCATCGGCAACGTCAGAATCATATTTCCGGAGTTGAGGATTCTGCTGGCCATTGGGTTGAGGACGAATCGCATATTCAGGATATATTTCTCCATTATTTCCACGGCTTGTTTCAATCCCAATCCCTTGTGGGTATAGATCACTTTATCTGGCATATATCTCCATGCGTATCCCCTGAAATGAACCGGAGTCTTATCGAGCAGCCTTCCGAGGAGGAAGTTCAGCGTGCTATCTTTGATATGCAACCTTGCAAAGCACCAGGGCCGGACGGGATGACGCCATTATTCCATCAGCACTATTGGCCTCTCCTTAAGCATGAGATCATTGCTGCGGTACATAGTTTTTTTCATTCGGGGTATCTTTTAACCAGCATGAATCATACTAATGTTACTCCCTAAGGTGGCTTCCCCTACTTTAGTTTCCCAATATCGACCTATATCCTTATGTAATGTCTCTTATCGGATCATTGCTAAAGTGATGTCCAATAGGCTTAGACACACACTTCCACCCAATGGCCATCACATAACTGAGAATATCTTGATTTCTCATGAAATTCTTCATTATCTGAAAAATAAGCGTAAAGGTAAAAAAAGCTTTCCTGGCTTTAAAACTTGATATGAGTAAGGCTTATGATCGCATTGAATGGCCCTTCTTGTTGGCAATGCTTGCCAAATTGGGATTTCACTCTCATTGGATTAAGCTTATTTATGCTTGCATTTCTACGGTCTCTTATTCTGTGGTCATTAGTGGGAGCCCCGTTGGTATGTTTAAACCTTCGAGAGGGCTTCGGCAAGGGGATCCGTTATCTCCATACTTATTTATTTTGTGTGCAGAAGCTCCATCTTTTTCTTTGCAGGGTGCGTTGCATCATCGAGTTCTTTCGGGTATTCGTGTTTGTCCACAAGCACCGGTTATCTCCCACTTATGTTTTGCAGATGATTTGATTGTTTTTTGTCAGACATCTCATTCGGAAGTTACTTTTCTTAAAAACCTCCTTTACAGGTATGAGAAGGCTTCTGGACAACAGATTAATTTTAATAAATCTGCTATTTTTTTCTCTAAAAATACTAGTTCAGAGGTACGACAATCAATATGTCAACTGTTGGGAATTCAAGAGGAGGGTTTGAGTGCTAAATATTTGGGTATGCTGACGATTATAAGCCGCTCAAAATGGGATGTTTTCCAGTATCTTTTAGAACGGGTAGCTGATCGTTTGGTGCAGTGGAAATCCCTTTTATTGTCCCCGGCTGGTAAGGAAATTTTAATCAAAGCTGTATTGTGCACCTTACCCACCTATGTGATGTCGTGCTTTAAGTTGCCCCGTAAGCTTTGTCAGTCTATTTTAAAGCATGTTCGTCGCTTTTGGTGGGCTAAAGCGGGGATGGCTCACAGTATTAACTGGATTAAATGGGACTTATTATGTGAACCAAAGGAGGAAGTGGAATTAGGATTTCGTAACTTTGAAACTTATAATGAAGCATTGTTGGCTAAGCAGGGATTGCATTTTTTGGTTAAACAGCAGGGACTGGCTTTTCAGCTTTTTAAAGCTAAATATTTTCGCAATTCTTCCTTCCTGGAAGCACGGTTGGGCTCTAATCCTTCTTGGGCGTGGCGTAGTATTTGGTCCACTCAACCTCTCATTACTGCGGGATCTACGTGGATTGTTGGGAATGGACAGTCTATTCATATTTGGAAGGATCACTGGGTCCCTGGTACACTTTTACACCCTAATCTTTTGAGCAGTCCTAATATGGTCATTGATTTACTGGACCCTTATGGTGTTGGATGGAATGAGCCTCTGCTTTATTCTCTTTTCTCGTCTTCCATTGTAGCAGCTATACTCGTGTAGTTTTAGCTTCTTCTCCAGGGAAGACAAGTTGGTTTGGGATTTGGAGCCCAATGGTGTTTTTTCAGTTCGGTCGGCCTATCGATTAGCTCATCGACGTTTGCAACAAGTGAATGGTCGATCTATGGAGGTCTCTCGTTTACCTTTGTATAATAAGTTGTTTTGGCAGTCTATTTGGAAATGTAAAGTTCCACCTAAAATTCAACATTTTTTATGGAAGTGTTGTAGACGAGTTGTTCCAGTCCATGCACTTCTGCATGATCATGGTATTAAGACCGATGTGGTATGTCCTCGATGTGGTCTGACTGTGGAATCTATTGAACATTTGCTTTTCTTCTGCCCTATTTCCATTTCTATTTGGAAACTTTCACCGCTTCGACTTGATTTTGTGTCTGATACGCCATCCTCTTTTGCCGAATGGTGGTTGGCTTTGGTTGATCACTGGAAGTTTAAGGCAGGGGGTATGGATTTTCTGGGTTTGGCGGCCTGTTGTTGTTGGGGTATTTGGATAGCTCAGAATAAGTGTGTGTATGATGATGAGTGGTGGGATTCCTCTCAAGTTGTTGATGTGGCGTGTTCTCAGTTTTAGGAGTATAAAGAGGTCTCATCTGCCATT